AGCTGTAAGATCGTGATGTATTTGCCTTGCTTGCACGTCGCGTTCTTGTGTGGTAATTATACAGCAAATTCGACGCTAACAAACTAACACGTAGATTTAGAGAATAGTAGTTCATTAGTTGGGTTGAAGTGGATATGGATGTTGGGGTTAAAATGGGAAGTTTTGAGTGCATTTACAGTGGACCTGGGGTGGTGGGGGTGGATGTGTGGGGGGGGGGGGGGGGGGGGGGGCGTGGGAGGCCGAGGGGTAATCAGAGATGGAAGGAAAAAACGCCAAACCCAGAAAGTAATGGCTTGCATGTGTGCCAGTGGTCGACCTGCGGCTTTGGAAGACGACGCAGGACATCATTAGCCTGCCGTGGCTGAGCCGCCTTTCTTGGGGCAGCCGAGATGATTCTGTGATGAGGAGAGAGCCTGCGGTCGGGGGGATTCGTGCGGTACGGCTGGCACCGTTAAGCCGTCTGAGATCATCTGGGAGCAGTGGTGCTGGCCTCAGTGTTTGGGTGGCGATGAGGGTGTTGGTGCTGTAGCTCTCCTACCTTCACCCTGTGCCACCAGCAGACTCTGTGACCCCAGCGTTGGCGGGCGTGGTGTCGCGGTTTGGACAGCACCAGCCTCCCTCCTGGCCCGGGCCGGCTGTTTGTGTAAGCTTCAAGCTCTCGGGGAGCTCAAAAGAGCTTCAAACAAGCTCCAAACAAGCTTCAAAGGCCGCAGGGAAGCGATGCCCGTCGGGGCTGGCTTCCTTAGAAAGGGACGCCAAGATCTGGTTTGCCGAGCCTCAGAATTGGGCAGGGCGAAAAACCCAAGCTGATTGTGTTTCCAGACTTTCCTCTCAAGTTCAACAGCGCGTAGAGAAGGATATATGATGACTTTCCACTTTATAAAACATGAGTGAGGTTTCATACCAAGCCTAAGTAAAATTTTCCTGTTTTTCACTGAATAGCTGGATGGTGGTATGAAGCCCCCCCCCCCAGGATGTACTACTGAGCTCACCAGAGGAAACTGGTCATTGAATAAATATTTCATCGATAATAACATTAATTAAATTGATGGAGAGCCTGCAGTCAGAGACCTTGCCATGCTGTTGAAGAGTTGACGGCGCACACAGTACTAGGGTTGTTCAGAAGTCTACTGCAGGCACTTTCCCCGGGCTGGGGGGGGCGTGGGGGGGTACAGAGCCAGAGGGTCAGAACACAGCATGTACAGCAGCTGGGTAGCTGGGATGGGCTGGACTGAAAACAGACCACATTAGACTGACTTTAAATGCTGAGACTGGTCTTTCTGTTGTATGGGAAACTGGGTGCCCTACGGCAAACCCTACACCAAAAGACTTTACCATCAACGCCTACATATAAAACATTCCATACTGTATGCCATAACCAGCACAGTTAACCAGGGGGAGGCAGGCAATCCATAATGCTTAAGTGACGAGATGATGATTAAGGTCCTTCTGGAATTTGAGAGCTGGAGTGGTGCGATGAGGTCATGCTCTGTGGTTTGGGTGACGGCTCACTGTGCTGCGAGTTTCGCTCTGCAGGAGGCAGTATCTGTATGAGCGCCACCTCAGGGCACTGCAGTAGTCTGGCACGAGGCAGGCAAGTGCAGGAAATGTACGGAAGAGTCCGCTTCGTGGTATTTATATCCTGCTCTGGATACCTCACCTCTGCTAAGAGAGCGAAGCAAAGTTTAAGCCCTCAGATCGAAGAGCTTGGGGTAACGTATCGTCACTGTCCGATGGGAAAACGTGTATCTCCAAAAATCCATTATTTAAGAATCGTGAAAAAATGCATTTCCTCATTTACTACTTTACAAAGTAAACTTAAAACAACGTAACGAGACCATACAAACCGCATATAGAAACCTGTCCTTACACAGCTGTCAGTGAAGGTTTCAATATTTTAAATTGACTTATGCGGATTGTTGTCAGTGAGGCACGTTTGTCAGTGTCAACAAGATACAAACTAATATTGTTTTACATTTACATTTACAATGATGTTAGTTATGTAGTAATCTAGCTATCAACGTCAAGTTGTTAAAATTAGCGATATAAAGTAATCCTTACAGATGAACATTCAGAATACAAATGTTATCTAGTACAAACAAATACTAAATAGATGATGTCATGAAACATCTTTTCATTGTTCAGTTATATGTCAAATTATATCAGTAAATGGAGGAGATTCCATCTACAAAGTCACAATTGTCAATTAGTGCGCACATGCGTGGTTTTCATCGAACAGTGAAAATATTTGTTGGGGTGGAAGGGAGATATATTTGTCTGTTTCTTTAATAACTTGATTTAAGATGGTCAAGGAGGTCAATGAGCAAACTAGACAAGCCGCTGTTAGGTTTGCTTGAAGCCTAGCAAAGCTGTGTAAGTGTATCTGAATTTTATAAGACCCCAGAGGTACACAGTGATGATCGTGGGGGTTTCCAGTGAGGGCTGAGCCCATCAGCTGGCCTGGATCACGCCTCTGCCAGTTTATCCCCTGCATTTGCACCCAGTTTTCCTGTCAAACGGCACCTGATGTTTCACTGCCCTTGATTGTTCATCTAAAGACCGACCAGTTAAAATGAGCAGAAGCATCAGACGGGCTGGGAAAGCAGGAATCGGCCGAGGGGAGAGTTTTGCACGGCTTCTGGGCCGTCAGAAGCACCGATTCATCCTGCCCTGCTTGTTTACAGTGTGGTTCCCCTGCTGAGAGAGTCCATCGGGATCCTGATGCAGCGAACGCCCCCAGCCCTGGACCACGCCCTCCCGGAATGCTACCAGAGGGTATGTAGAGCATCATTATTAGTTTTTTTTCCCTTTCTTCCTTTTTAAGATGCGGCGTTTAACACGTGGTCGCTGTGCAGGTACAGCAGCTGCAGGGCGTATATAACCTCCAGGAGCCGCATTTCTGGACGCTCTGCACAGACGTGTATGTCGGTACGCTCAAGCTGCTGGTTGCGCCCGACGCCGATGCCCGCTGGATTCTGAGCCAGACGCACAACATCTTCACACAGGTACCTTCACCTGGGACAAGATGAACGTGTCCAGCTGTCTCCTCAGAGTGCGAGGCGTGTCTGACCATGTGCTTGCGTTTGTCTCTCCCGCCACCAGGCCGGCGTTCGGCAGCTCTATGTTCAGATCGACGTGGCCGCCATGTAGTGCTGGACTCCCTCGCTCTCGGGGCTTCTGGGACCAAAGGCATTCATGCCACCATGGAGAATTCCCCTCCATCTTAAACCATGCAATTTGAGATTTCAGAGTCTCCGTACGATTCCAGGGACCAAGATGGAGCAGCTGCTTTAAACTCTCGCCAGGAAATCAAAAAAAAGAAAACAAAAAATAAAACTTGAACGTAAAATGGGGGAATAAAACTAGCTAATAATCATGTGAAATCTAAGCAAAACAAGGTGAATTTTGTCATCAGTTGCCAAAACCCTCCTCTGAGTACACCCATCTGGATGCTGTTTGTAATTTTGGTCATTCTCTCTGTTTGATCATCAGTGTATTAATTTTCCAGTAGGGGTGTCCTAGCTCTTGAAGTTGGTGTCCTGAAGTTGTAAGAAATTGAACTGTAGTTTTTTTTTTTAATATACGCATCATGCCTGACTGAGACACCGTCATGAAGAACTCCAACTGGCCATTCTTATTGCACTTTGCGGACTTCTTGAACCAAAACTCATTTCTTGGTTTCCAAAGTGCCTTTTTAATCGCATTAAGGATGACCTGAAGTAAACTGTTGCAGAAAGCAGACCTGACCATTTAAGTAAGAGTTACTTCGACTTGTTTATGGCAAAGCAACGCAGAATCTGAGGATCCTCTCTGGGTTTGGCGTTCCAGCGCCATCGGAGTTCCAGCCCGCCGATATCCCCTCTCCGTCGTTCCGGAATGCCGTGACTTTCGCTCGACCATTCTTAAACACTAGCATATTGCGTGGACGAACCCTTCGGACCACAGGAGCATCTGGTTTTGCAGTCGTCCTCGTTTGGGTCCACTAAGAGCACATGTGAACGTGAACTGCATCTGTGGTTTCACTGCCCCAGTCGGTCTTAGTTTTTAACAAGCCAAGTTGGCCAGTTATACATATACTTTTTTTGCAATGTAATAAACTGTTTTACTGCACGTTTAAATGAATTTATTTTTGTGTGTGTGTGGTGGAAGGATCTAGCATAGGAGATGCTTTGTGGAAAGCTTTAGGGAGGCTAAGCCCTCAACAAATACCGTTTTTGGTTCATCCAAGCGTTCGCTTTGCACCTGGTTTTCGTTTCTCGGTTCATTTTCAGAGGCTTCCCAGAGTTCTGGAAAAGCGCAGCGTCTCAGGTTGTGTGGCTCCCCATTCAGAAGTGCACTGCAGCTTCGTACCTTCCTCTCATCTTGGCCTGTCCTGCTAACCTGACGCAGGATATTTAGTTAGATGACAGCCACATGAATGGTATGAGTACAGCTTGGGTACACATTTTCTGATATCATTCTGATATAATCCACAGAGGTGATTGACGTTTTATGAATCACATGGGAGGACGAGCACCCATAAACTTGTCCCATGTGCAGATGAATGTGAACCCAGCTGTAATAAACCATATTGCTCTCCCTGAACAAGGAAACCTCTACTGCCTTGGAAGGTAATTCATCCCCAGACCCATAAATGGGTATATATCTATAAATAAATGGATGTAGATTAGCTGCAAGTCTGAACTTTTGCACAGGTATAATACGGCATGATCTTGCAGAGCTGGTTTTGAATGAATACAATGCAGCTATTCATGGTTGCATGCTTGATTTATAAGAGTGACCGTTCAGAGCAGAGAATGAAATTGAGCCACATACCCAGCCAAAAAGGGATTACTGAGCAGGTCCAAAGAGCAGAAAGCTGGAATCCCAGGGTCACGCGTTAAGTAGCGAAGCATCGAGGACACTGCCTCATTACAGGCAGCTGCTGGAGGAATGGCAAGAATGATCTTTGGTCACTGAGCTTGGGTGTGATTCAACAGGCAAACGACGAGGGACACAGATAAGGTCGAATCTGAGGAATAATTTAATTAGTTCCGATTCAAGAAGATGAGACCCAGTTCAGCCCAAAAGCAGCACACGAAGAAACTCTACTACTGGCCAAAACATTCAATTAGGAATGAATTTTGCATTTTTCATAAAAACACCGGCTGATCCATTAGACCTGCAAGAACTGCAGCATGTCGAAAAAGTTCACTTTTGCTGAAACCTGCAACCCACACGCACGTGAAATCTGGAACACTCCTCAGCTTCCATATGCCGCCCTGTGTGGGGGGGGGAGGGACGGCCGGACGGACAGACACACACACACACGTCTTCTCACACTGTTTCCTGCATGTGACCATGCAACCTGTTTCCAAACTCAAAATAGGAAGCAAATTTTTTAACATTGCAGCAAATGCAATCTGCCCAAAGGGTTGAAAATATGACATATTTTCATGAAAAGCATTTTTGAACAAGGATTATATTTAATTATTGCTGAACATAGTAACTGTCAAGATGCCAATAGCACAAGACTTTATTCCTAAACTGTGCTTTTACCATCTCCCATTTTATTTTGCCCTATAACACTTGATTGTGGGGTTTTAACCTTTGAATGATGAATAATACCTGGTTAATCTTTTCTGGGGTTTAGGCAACTGACATTTAAGGGCTTTAAAGTGAAGATGAATTCTAAGGTATATTACAGAAAATCGATGCAGACCAGTTACGATACAACAAATGTAGTTTTGGGGGATTCTCAGGTTGTCCATCTGTCACAAGCAGTCCTTCATGAGCCATTTTCTCATCAGCTCTTCCTGAATACACCAGAAGGTAGCAGATGCACACATTCCGTGTGGAAATCCCAACCGGGAGGCGTGGTCTTCTGAAGGGAGAAGTGAATAATCCAGCGTACCACAGCGTCTGACTTTCAGCCTGGCCTCATCTCACAGGAGCGCGTTTGAGGTACCGGCCCTCCTGGGCACCCTGCCCTCCCTCTCCCTGCACACTGCTCCTAGGACACATACGTGGAGCTGTCCGTCATCTTGAGATTCGGAAGGGTGTCAAGCTCAATGGCAAAAAGGCGGAGCATGTCCACCTCCAGCGGGTGGAGGTGCCCCGTAACGACGAGTGAGTGGAGGGGCCCGCCCAGGTCACATGATGCCAGCTGGTGCAGCGTCCCCACCGCGATTGCCTGGTCTTCGGCCCCCACCCTCGCCAGCCCCACGCAGATGGTGTCTTCGGTGATGGCTGATGGATGAGGAGCACAGGTGAATGGCGCGCGAGTGTTAAGGTTCTTCATGGGAAGCAGTATCAGCAAATCAGAACCGCAATGAAACTAGGGAAACTGACTCTCTACACTGGGTCGTTCTGGGCCTGAAGGTCCATAGGTGGAGATTACTTGGTGATTACTTGGACAGTATAAGGCCCCATTTTGGATCAATAATTAAAAGCCAGTGGTCCTCAAAGTGAGGAACTTCTCATTTGTACTGTGGGAAAAATGCACTTAATTTCAAGAAGGACAGAATTCATAATCTTTAGAGCACATCTAAAACTACCTTCAGAAACCTCACCAAATACTATTATACCAACAGCAATGGAATGCTATTCCTCTAACTGTTGCAGAGTCATGGTTCCTTGTGGTATCTGGGGGGGAGGTCACACCGTGTCCACTCACCAAGGTCTTCCTGCCGCTCCCTCCGGTTCTGCACGATCTCCAGGAGCTGCTCTGATGCCTGATTCACGCTCATGTACCTGGGCGGCTCGTAAATCTTACGGCCCCTTTACAAAAAAAGAAGACAGGGGTGATCTCTCCGCTGAGCTCTTCACCCCTGAGCAGCAGAAATTCTCAGATGGTTTACTGTACGTTGTTCTTGGTTTCTGTGTGGACTGTCTCACTACCTCGTTGGGTACGGGCTTGGAGACAGTCTCCCCAATCTCTGCAGTTTTCCAGAATTGACATTATGGTTGCACACGTTCTCTCAGCTGAAACTTCAGCTAACCACTCTTTCTGATCACTCTTTCACTGTCCCGTTTGTAACAAGTTATGTATACTCTCTCCTGAAAATCTTTTAAGTAATATCTTTACAAAATACTAATTAAAATGCTGCAATCTATTCATATTTAGATTATTCAGATATAAAAGCTCATTTTGTGAATAGAAGATGAAAGTGTAGTTTGAATTCTGTGTAAACCTCAAAAGATGCAAATTGAGAGGCAACTGAATGAGGATAAAATCAGGCCATTTCCCATTTTCAAAGTGGGTCAATAAAGAAATATTCTGTGTAGCTTTATTACCATAAACACTCCACTAAATGTAATTATTTAAAAAGGTGTTCACAGGTGTTAAAGCACATCAGGAGTGACAGAGTCAGATTTAAACCTAATTACTGAAGCAAACATCAGATCATCTCTCCCTTTGTGAAGCGCAGGGCTGACTTTTGACCTGAAACTCACAGTCGTCTTTGGCACTTTTTAATAGGATATTCTGGTGACCATAAAGGTCCGTTTTTATGCTGTGACCAAAGAGCCTTTTCTCTCATTTACCCCCCACCTCATTTACGCTGTTTTACCTACACATTCATAAATCCGTTCGGCTCCCGGCAGCTAAGTTAATCACTTAAGAGTTTTTAAGTTTCCTGAAAATGGGGAAACATTCCCCATTAGATTTTTTTTTAAAAGAATGACCCCCAATAAAATACCAGGTCAGGCAAAAGCAACATTACAGCACAAAGAGGGTATGTTTAAAATCCACTGTAAATCTTTTTCCCTTAGAACATAGCGGGCAGTGCGACATAAAACGTCTCAGCTGGACACAGGCCACAAGCGGCCATGATGACAGAGCGCGCAGCCAAGACAAACATCTCATCCCTGCTCCTCTAGGCCCGCGGACGCGGCCAGCCAGCTTCGCGTATAAGCGTACAGTAAATTCATGCCTAGAATAAACCTCAAACGGCACGCATTGCAAGGCAGCATTTATCAAAAAAAAGAATGTAGGACAGGGATATAATTCAGCAAGGCCACCGTCTGTTTGGGCAGAATGTGAGACGTACCTCATCAAGTTCTCCATGGTCTGTTCCTTGACTTTGATGTCTGGAAAACATGAGGCAAGAGCTGCGTGAAGACCTGACCCCCTCGCCCTCGAATCCATAAAATACAGTGGGACAGAACTGACGGCCACAATGGGCTTTATTTTAGTCCTTGCTGGGTGCCGGCGCCGTGGGAGTTTGTGCGTCTGTCATTATTACTGGGAATATCACTGTTAGAATGAAAGCGGGGTGGCTTGGGGGCTTAATTGCATGAGTATAGTATGTGGTAATGAAAGGCAGTCATCACATCATCCCGTCTTTCTATGGAGGCCTTTTGTCATGCAGATTGGTGGGGCAGGACAGGTTCCCGCCGATGAGGTGCCTTTCACTAGTCTCCACTCAATAACCAGCCCCAGCCCTCCCCCCCTACCCTGCACACACGGCGCTCAACACCTGGGGACATATTGGGGACGGGGGGGTCGACACCCCCAACCCAAATCGCTGGGTCTGCCGCAGAATGGCGGGGGACCATCAGCCCCCATCGGCCAGAATGGTAATAAAAGTGAATTAAGATCAGTGTGGCCATCTGCCTGGCCTGTGTGCCGTCAGCAGCCAGCCGGGAAAACACCCTCACTGGGCCTCAAACAGGGCTCCTAATGTGCTGCTCCGGGGAAAAGCAATTCTGTGGAAAGTGCTGCAAGGCTGGCGCTTGGCAGGTCCCCAGGGCCTTCACCCCACCGCTCTCCCACCTGGGGAGGGACCAGTACATGTGGGGAACCCTGGAGAATAAGCCTGTAATTGGGGGGTTTGCCCGGACTGGTCACACACGGTTCTGTAGCGTGTGGTGACTGTCACTCAGTTACCGGGCGTCCCACCATCACTCACCGGGCGTCCCACCGTCACTCACCGGGCGTCCCACCGTCACTCACCGGGCGTCCAACCGTCACTCACCGGGCGTCCCACCGTCACTCACCGGGCGTCCCACCGTCACTCACCGGGCGTCCAACCGTCACTCACCAAGCATCCCACCGTCAGTCACCAAGCGTCCCACCGTCACTCACCGGGCGTCCCACCGTCACTCACACACCAAGCGTCCCACCGTCACTCACCAAGCGTCCCACCGTCACTCACCAAGCGTCCCACCGTCAGTCACACACCAGGCGTCCCACCGTCAGTCACACACCAAGCGTCCCACCGTCACTCACCAAGCGTCCCACCGTCAGTCACCAAGCTTCCCACCGTCACTCACCAAGCGTCCCACCGTCACTCACCGGGCGTCCCACTGTCACTCACCGGGCGTCCCACCGTCAGTGACACACCAAGCGTGCCACCGTCACTCACCAAGCGTCCCACCGTCACTCACCGGGCGTCCCACCGTCAGTCACACACCAAGCGTCCCACCGTCACTCACCAAGCGTCCCACCGTCACTCACCGGGCTTCCCACCGTCACTCACCAAGCGTCCCACCGTCACTCACCGGGCGTCCCACCGTCACTCACCGGGCGTCCCACCGTCACTCACCGGGCTTCCCACCGTCACTCACCAAGCGTCCCACCGTCACTCACCAAGCGTCCCACCGTCACTCACCGGCGTCCCACCTTCACTCAGCGAGCATCTCATTGTCATACAGCAAGCATCCCACCATCAATCACTCACCGAGCAAACATAGCGTGTGCAACCCACTGTCACGGTTCCTCTTGATTTTGTCGTAGAAGCTCTCAGGTTTCCAAGAGTCTGTCCAGAAGACTATAGACACGGTCTCACCAAAGTTATACAGCTGCAAAAAGAAGCACCCATCACCATTATTATTACTATTCTGCATTGTGTAAATAATTGTAAATGATCACTTAAAGGGCTAATACTTGATACGGTTGATAGATGAGGCTCTGAGGGATTGTGGGACAGTTTTTTTTCGTGAATTGTGTCTGTTTCTCTTCGTCTAGCCTCATAACTATGAATGTTTGCGAAACCACCCGGCTCTGTTTGAGCACAGCTGATTACCTAGCAACAGACTTCTAGTACAAAGAAATCCAGGCAAGGTGCTTCCTGTTATTCTCAGGAAGTGATGTCATATGGCCCGGCAGTGTGGAGGGGGTGTGGCCCAGCCTGGTGACCGCACCCTCTGGTGACAGCTCATCCCACCCAATGAGTGGCCTTAAAGGCAGGCTTGTTAGTCCAACCCC